TCATGCTATTCTTTATATCTTTACATGTTTATTTCCCTAAACAGTAAACACAATGTTGTTTGTTTTGTATGTCTTCAAAATTATAAGTAAATGGTATGTTTGCTTCTACAGCATGCTCATTTTGCTTAACTGTGAGTTTGAGAGACAGTGACACATCTCCTGGACTTTGGGAATGAGGAAGTCTCCCACTTTAGGCCTGAAACTCTTACGACTTGGGGCATGTTCTTGTTGAACATTTGAGTTATTTACTGTTTGTTTCCATTTTGAATAATGATAGTACTTATTTCTTTGTATGGATTTCTCCACCGTCCCTTTCATTCCTTACCATAAATATCCAAACTATAATTATAGGTCATAAAATAGAAACCAATTTGTAGCTTTTGTGATGTGTTACTTGAATGGCTTTCTGGAAGGATCAAACAAAGCCACAGATACATATTTTGTAGTTTTTCCGATTTTTCTCTTAATCCTTTGAAATTTTTCTCCTTTGTGGATAACTCTTTGATCCCTGCCTCTCTGTGCTACTTCTATCTAGTTTTAAGCCATTTCATTTAATATTAGCAGCTCTTTCAGGTGTATGTATCTTTGTTTGAAGAGTTAAAAAGGCTTTTATTCAATGTCAGTAGGATTGTTGTATCAGGGGGCTGAAATGCAGAAAGGATTGAGTCTTTTGATTATTTGTAGATTTCTGTTACTCTTGCCCAAAGTAATGTAAAAGTATTAATGTGCTAAAGTATACTAGTGTGCCAAAATATTAATGCTTCTAAAATTTAATACCTTTTATTTTATTTAGGCCCCACCAAAGCCTATACCAAAGACCATTGACAACCAGCGAGTGTTTGATGAAACTGTAGTAGACCCAAATGATGAAGAGGTAATGTTAGAAGTTTCAAATGAATTTGGGTAACCACACTGTTCATATGTTGATGTTTTATTTAAAGTGCTTGTGAAGTTGTATAAGGGACTGATTTATTGGGCATTTTATCTTATTTACTGTACATTATTTTGTGATTGAATTTCCCAGTAATTCTATAGAAAAGCTCGTGTGGCGTAGTGCCTGAGGCATTTGCCTGCTAACAAGAAGGCTGGTAGTTCAAACCCACCAACTCCTCAGAAGGAAGATTGGTTAATCTACTTCTGTAGAGATATATCACCTCAGAAACCCAAGGAGGGGTCGCTATGAGTTGAAAACAACTCAATAGCAGTGAGTTTAGGGGTTTTTTGGGTATAGAAAAATGCAGTAACTATTTTTCAGAAACATTTTATTTGTCCCTTACTACTTACTCACTGCCGTCAAGTCAAATCCGACTCATAGCGACCCCTTCTTGTGTTTCCGAGGTGATACCTCTATGGAAGTAGATTGCCCAACCTTCTCTTTTATGTTTATCATTTAATCTCTGAGTAGTATTTTTAATAAAAGTTTTTGTATCATTTGAAAAGCATTTCTCATACTATAGGTTTTTTGTAGTATTTGTTAGATATTTTGATACTTCAGGGTAGCTTTTTTATTGTTTATTGTTATTTTTCCAGTACTCTTAGCTTCAAGATAATCTTTCAGTTTGCGCACTTTCCCTTTAAGTACTGTGTGACAGTACACTCAAAATTCAAGGTTTTAAAACTTGGTATATGCTAAAAAAGGCAAGGAGGCCACATCTCCTGACTTCTTCTAACCCCACAAGAGGGAGACAGAATCACCATCTGTAACCCAAAGCCTATTCCTGTAAGGCCAAACATGCTGCCTCCTTCCAGCCCTTTCACCAACCGTTCCTCCCAAAGCACCCACCACCTCTCTCCTAGGTTTGATAATTCACTGCACTGGCCAACAGAACGCACAGATTATGGGGTTTATTAGGGAAGCAACAGGCTACAATTCAAGTTCAGGAGCAATGTTCAGTCTCTCTCCCAGCAGTGTGTATCTCTCGGTGTCTCTTTCTCAGCAATATGTCTTCCTCAGCCAGAGGTCAGATAGAGTTCTGCCTCTAGGAGGCCTCCTTTTGAGTCTGGCAGAGTGGCCAAACTAAGAATTCTAAGTACCTGAGAGAGAGGAACCTCCCAGAATACTGCTTTGTGCCACACCCAACAGAAGTACCCCAGGTGGATATCTTTTACAATCAGGAGCTCCTCAGTTGCTCACAGCAAATTCTACCACGGAGTTTACAAAGACTTATGGCTAGAAAAGCCATACCAGGTAATTTACTACACTGCAGTATATCTTTTAAAAATTATGTAGAGAAAACTCGAGTTTGTAACGTTTTATTTTATAAATATACTAATTATCTCTTAATTTTTGGACAGTGGAGTTGCTTCTAGTTTGTTTATTTTTTTTCTTTCAAACAGTCCTGTCATTAACATTCTTTCATATATCTCTTGGCATAGTAATTTATTCATTCATTTAGTCAATTAGTCTTCTAGCAAATGTTTATTCATTGCCTGCTGCAAAAACGGCAAGGAGGCCACATGTTCTGTCCTCCTCTAATCCCACAAGAAG